CACATTTTACATAATTGTAAACTTTGTGTATATGTTAAGTATAATATTTCAAAAATGAAAAATATATATTTACAAGTATCATTATATTGTTTCTTCAATGCATTTTGATTATTGCAGCAGTGGCTGAATTAAGAGAAGCCATTGAGCATGAATGCACCCGAGTACCAAGGGAATTGTTTCATGGTGTGTGCGATTGATTTGCTTTGCGTTGTCAACATGGACGTCAGTTTGAGTACATTCAGGAAAAAAACAATTAAATGATACTTGTAAACATGTTGACCTTTTTGAAATGATAAAATCATAATTAACCCCAACTTCATAATTGTGTATAGTGTGTATACATTTTTGGGACACCATGTATTTTATGCTTTTGTACGCTATACTTTCTATTTTTATTTATTATTTTCTGTTGTATGACCTAACCATAAACCCCTATTATCACGACTGCCGTAGGAAATAATTCCGAGTGGACGATGTCTTGATACCTTTCCTCAGAATCTCAATTGAGCTTTCAATTTTAATGATTTATATTTCAGAAACAAGCGGTTGCTGCCTTACCGCCATTGCCAACAGAATAGGTTAGCGAGCTCCCTGGCAAAACATACGACAAAGAACCGGAAGACACTAGTGAAGACACTAGCTTATTGACTGCGTAAAGCTAAATATTCAACATCATTGAAAGTTTGTTCACATTGGCTCCACTAACAGCCTTCGAGGATGTGACTGATTTTTTTAAATATTTATTTTTCAAAATATATTACTTACCGTTTTATTCCTTCCTGTTAAGATTTCGCCTCCCTAAGAGAGAGCAAATGAATAAATCTTATATGCCAAAGAGTAATACATTTCCTCTCATATTCGGAATATTTCTCTTCTTTGTTGGTGGTTTATAGGGTTTGCATTTCGGACCCAGATTCATTTCGCGAAATTTGACTAACAGGGCTTTAATTTTACCAGGGCGACGTACTCTTCTCTTCATCGATTTTTCGTTCAGAGCCACTCCACTGCGAAAGAGTTGTGGACGGCTGATGGGAGACCAGGGTCTTTAAGTGCCGTTGTTATTATCCTTATATGAACATCGAAGTGTCTGTTGCTATATACTAATTTGGAAAATGTGTCAATCATTTACAGCAAAACCACGACATATTTTTGATTCGGAGCATATTGGTTCTGCGCAAGGCATTTGTTGACTGCTTTAAAGCGGCCACCGTCTAGTTTCTTCTCTAGCACGTACATCTTCGAAGCTGTTGCCGGCAAAATATATTTTAGAGGCTTCAAAAATCCCCTCCAATTAAAATAAAAAAACTAAATTTAAATGTGCGGTAGCGCGATTTTAAGTTTTTCCATTAAACTCCACCAACAGGAGGACGTGTTTGAATTTTCGTTAAAATCCACCTGTATAAGCTCTACTTTCCCTCGATTAGCATTCGTATACTGCGCAACATAAGTTTATGTTGGTCGAATTTTATTCTATTTGAGGATATTAAAACAAAATTATTTTTATTCAATTTAATATTTTTCAGAAAATAAATTGGCGAACATACGTTTGTTTTCGATAAATTCTCGTCAGGCCTTTACATATATATGGTAATGAAATAAATAAACTATGGTGGTTGGTGGACAGATGAAGTGTTCTCGTTTTCACGGTGGGNNGGAGTTGAGGTCAGAATGTCAATGTCTAGACGGCCCGGCGTACAAGACCGCCAATAAGGTGTGCGTGGCTGGACTTGGGACTTGGTCGTCTCTTTTTTGATCACTTCCGCCACATCCATATATTAATTTACGCTCTCTGGCCAAGCGTTAAATATTTGGCTACAAATTACTTTGAGCAGCTAGGTGAGGGTGATAGATACATTGAGGGGCCCTACAAATCTTTTTTGCCCGGTTGCCTTACTTCACCTTGTCAACCGGTCAATCAGTGGCTTCCTTGTCTAATGGCGGCCATGAAGAGCGATAAAACCGAATTTTAGGGTTAATTGGAAACCAATTTTCATAGTCTCCAGTAGTACTCTTCGTAGAACATTTGAATCATCTGTTTTGTTCGAGTTCATTTACAGGGCTCTGTTTCTTACAGTCTTTAGCGTTCTTATTAATATAAATCCTCGTCAAAGGGGAATAAATGAATGCGCTTGATTCGTTAAATGTACATATAGTTCCCTTTCTATTTGCTTCATCTGCTTTCAAGTCTTCCTTATTTGTTGTTGTTGCTCTTTTGCTGTGTTCAATGACGACATCTTCATTTAATTACTGCGACAGTACTACTTAAATTGAGTAAAGTGGGTCTACTATTGACAACAAAGGCATTGCATACAGGGAGCTCTTTAAACAAAAGGTTTTCTAGTTTCGTTTAGTTTTCACATTGATATTCTTTGAAGTAGTTGTGTGGCTTGTGATGACAAAGCATCTTTTATTAGGCTCCTTTTATAGAATTAGAGATGTTTAAAAAACGGCTATTTAACCAATGGAGACTGCGCTATTAAAGAAATATTAGCTAAGAGCCTCCGTACATAACGCTGATAATGTAGAGCTTCACAGGAAGACAGCCTGAGGTTTCAGAAAAATGTGAGACAACTAAAGCAAAGCCCGCACATGCCTGAGTGCCGACCGTCGTTATTCAATTTTCTTATTAAGAAATAACGTCATAGGGTAGACGATAAAGTCATAGTGAGTACAAATTATGCATGAAGGCAACACCCTCGTTGAGACGGCTGATGTCACGTCAAAAGATGGAAATTTTGTGTAGAAACTCGGCTCTGTGCTCTGTGCGTTGCGCCTTCGCAACCAACTTCGCTTCTGTTTGAATACGCCTCAACCATTTTAGTCGTTAGGTTGCCCTTGAATCCGCTAGTTGGGTGATTGTACCTAGGTTTACTGTACCTTGTGCCTGCCTGTCAGCGCATCAGCCCTGAATCTGGCGCAAAGATCATCACTTCTCGTGAGCAGTGGTATCCAATGAACGGGTTGCAGTCATTTCTCGGTTTTCTCGGTTTTTTTGCTCTCCATTCATGTGGAAATTTATTATCATATACCATCTTCTCTAACCCTCCGCTTTGTTTGTCTGCAGTTGTGATCATGAGTTCATATATACTACAGTACATTGCTACCTTTTTAAATGCACGAAAACAAGTTATTTTATCTA